TGTCTCCTCCCTGGAGAATCCCCCCGGACAGGATCTCCCTTTCCCAGGGGCCTCTTCAACATCCAGACCCCCAATGGCTCCAATTAGCCGTTTGGAGGTTGAGCGGGAACGGTTAAGAAACGAGAACCTATCTGACCAAGTTATTGACACCATCTTAGCCGTCAGACGGCCTTCAACCAACCAAATATATAACGCCACTTGGGTCAGTTTCTGCAAGTAGTGCCATGGTTCCCAGGTCAACCCGCTCTCGTCCTCTGTTGCCCAAGTTTTGAATTACCTCCAAGACGGGCTGAAGAAAGGACTTTCTCCTAACACTTTGAGACGCCAGGTAGCAGCCCTCTCGACCGTCTCCGGCGACAATATTGGGCCCCTTTCTCACCACCCCCGCATCAGGGCCTTCCTCAGGGGAGCCACTAACCTCTGTCCCCCTGCCGTGCATCGATACCCCACCTGGGACCTTAACAAGGTCCTTGTGGCCCTAACTAAGCCTCCCTTCGAGCCTATCAGGGAGTCCACCCTCCAATTCTTAACCTTCAAAGTTGTGTTCCTGGTGGCGATTACTTCAGCTCGCTGAATATCAGAGATAGCAGCCCTTTCGGTGAGAAAAGACCTCTGCATCTTCCATGCTGACCGGGTAGTTCTACGACCACAGGGCTCAGGAGCTCACTCTCCCCAACTTCTGTCCCAATCTCTCGCGGGAGAGGGAGAAGCGGTGGCACACCCTGGATGTGAGGCGGGCACTCCGCATTTACATTAAACGCACACAACCCTTTAGAAGGTCCGAGTCCTTATTCCTTTCCTTTCAACCCAAGACATTAGGCCATAAGGTGTCGCCTTCTACCATTGGCCGATGGATCAGAGCCACTATCGCTAAGGCTTATTTGTCTCAGGCCTTACCGGTTCCCAGCAGGGTCACTTCACATTCTACCAGAAGTGCGGCTACCTCGGCAGCCTGGGCTACCCAGGCTCCAATTTCGGACATTTGTTGGCCCGCCACTTGGGCCTCTCCTTCCCCTTTCATTAGGCATTATAAGATTGACATTTTTGCCTCAGCGGAGGCCTCGTTTGGCAGACGAGTCCTTCAGTGGGTGATCGAGGACCCAGGAGAGTTTCCACCCGACGGAATCCCTCCCGTAGGACAGCCAAGCTTTGGTATGTCCCACTCTCTGGATGATCCGAGCAGCTCAAAGGAGAATGGGCGTTGGTCTTACCTGACACGCCATTTCTCTTCGAGCTGCGAGGATCATCCAGCCCCGCCCTTTTTTTCTTTTCACCTTCTGGGGGAGTCTTGTTTTGGCCAATGATCCTTTAAGTCTAGTTAGATAAGAGGGCGACCTTTCCTTCCGTCTCAACTTCGCACAAACTGGGGAACGCTGCAAGGGACCACGTGATGGAGGGCGGAGCGTTCCTCAGTAATTAAGCTCAGCCTACACAGACGCAGACTGGAGCACCTCCCACTCTCTGGATGATCCGAGCAGCTCAAAGAGAAATGGCGTGTCAGGTAAGACCAACGCTCAGTCTCACATCCAAACATGTTAATGGCATAGATTGGAAATGAATTCTATGAAAGCTTGCCTCAAAGCTTTGTGTGGAGACAAACTGATATTCTTGTAATACGCCAAAGCTATTTGGAAGATCCATGCTGAAGAATCTTCTTCCTGGTGTTTTTTCTGCAAGTGCAGGGTCTGCTTTATTTTTTCCAGATCAATTGAATGTTGGTCCATTGGTTACAAACAGGAATTGACTAGCCAACTTGTCACCCAAGTCTGACGTTGTGGGCTGAGAGAGAGTGACTGACCCAAAGCCACACAGATGCCTTTCATGTCTAAGGCGTTACTAGAACTCACAAACCACTAAATCTAACTAGCTTTCATGCTAAAGATTGCACACCACTATCCAGTGGTAACAAACGATTGTTTAATTTAACTTTAAAACATAGCATTTGCACACATAATCTACCAAACTATTTAATGCAGTAGTCTCCAACCTTTGTGGCTTGGTGGCCCAGCTTTGGGGTGGGAGAGGGGAACTATCCATGTGAGCGGCAGGCTGGTGGTGCTCAAGTTGAGTTGTGCACACTGTGGCTGGCCATCCACTTGTGCGGCCCAATTACAAATAGCCCACAGTCCGTTCGTGGGGATCCTTGTTCTAATCTGAGTTCTAATCTGAGATTCTTGTTCTAATCTGAGTTTGCAGCAGAAATTTCAAGTCCAGAAAACACACAGATGACTGATTCAGCAGGATCATTAACTTCTTTATAAACATAATAATATAAGTAAAGTTATTATATCATTTGTGGATTATTAGATTGATTATACCATTTGTAGACTATTTCAGTGTAACATAAGCAAAAACACAAGCAGAGCAGCTCACAGCAGAATTCAGTTTCAACAAGCTAGCAAGAGCCAAGCCACACCCAGCTCTCTGTCAGCTCTCATTGGCTGGTCTGTTGCCATGCTTACTCACTGACTTTGTTAACCATGTCTCTGCCAGTTAATGAATATTCTCTGACATAATCTATTAGATATTCTACCAGAATGAAATATGAATTTAAGAACTGTAAACAGGGTATACCCCAGCCTCTTACTTCAAACTATTCCCACAGCCATTTAGTTCTTTTATGGTGGTAGAAGGCAAATCAACTATTAAATTGTTGTTCAGAATTAATTTGGGAAGGGGTCACATTTCTGTTGATTTAAAAATTGGGCAAGATAATAATGGTCAAGATCCAGTTGGCTCAAAAGTGAATTTTACTTTTTCTTCAGATATAAGCAGCATAATATTTGATTTAGTTTTGCTTGCATATTTTTGTTGTGCCTATTCAAAATGAGTTCTAGTTTGTTTTATGTATAACCACATTGTTTTCTTTTTGCCCTCTTCATCCATATGTTATGTAATCATAATTATATGTAAATTAAACTGTCTTTCCTTAAAATTAGAAAATGGTGAAACAATTGAAATAAAAGAGAGAAACAAAGTCAATAAACAAAATCAAATTAAGAAACTTAATAAAAACATTTTTCATAGTCCTTGACTTGCAGTATTTTGTTCAGTGACTGTTCAAAGCAGAAGTGGAATTCAGTAGGTTCTGACCAGTTCTGGAGAACCGATAGCGGAAATTTTGACTAGTTCGGAGGACCAGCAAATCCCACCTCTAACTGGAGATTTTACAGTATCTTTCCCCTGCCACCAAGTCATGCCCACAGAACAGGTAGTAAAAAAATTTGAATCCCACCACTGGTTCAAAGTTACAACAGCTCTGAAAAAAGTGACTTACACTTATGACTGTTTGTGTGACTGTTTGTCACACTTATGACTGTTGCAGCATCCACGTGATCACATAATTGAAATTCAGATGCTTGGCAGCTGCTTTCATATTTATGATGGTTGCAGTGTTCCAGGGTCATGTGATCAGCTTTTGCAAACTGCTGACAAGCAAAGTCAATGGTGAAGTCAGATTCACTTAACAACTGGGTTACTAACTTAACAATTGCAATGATTTACTTCAAAACTGGGCCAGGAAAAATAATAAAATGGGGCAAAACTTAGTAAACAGAAAATTGGGTTCAATTGTGATAATAATTCAAGGACTACTTTATATTGCATAAGAATTAAATACTTTTATTTTAGCAATATAAGCAAGTTTGTACCTTATTGTATCTTGAGATGTGTTTTTTCACTGATAAAACTAATAAAAATAAAACTTACAATTGTATATATTTTCTGTAATAATGTGAAAGTGCTATGGAATTTGGAGGATTTCCTGTGTTACAAGCAATGAATAAATTTATTGTTCAGTTTTATCTTCATCACTTTGGCCATTTTTATTATCCCTTTCCTTCCTGTTGAAACCCTTGTTTTAAAAGGGTTTAAATCAAATGCCTTGTTTAAAAAGGATATAAAACAAAATCAATCACAATGTTCCAAATGTGTTTATATAATTTGGAACCTTGTGATTGGTTTATACAGGATCAGAGTTTGGCAAACCATGACCCATGGGCCAAAACATACCTACCCATCTCTTCTTATATGGTTCATGAGCAGACATAGAGCAGATCTCCAGGCCCAAGTACAGGTAGTCCTCAACTTGTGAACACAATCGAGCCCAAAATTTCTCTTGTTAAGTGAGACATTTGTTAAGTGAGTTTTGCCTCATTCCCATTGTTAAGCTGAATCATTGCAGTTGATAATTTAGTAACCTGGTTATTAAATGAATCTGGCTTCCCCATTGACTCTGCATGACAGAAGATTGCAAAAAGTGATCACGGGACTTGGGACATAGCAACGGTCATAAATATGAACCACTTGCCAAGCGCCTGAATTTTGCTTCAAAGGTTGTAAGAGTGAAAAACAGTCATAAGTCACTTTTTCACTGCTGTTGTAACTTTGGTCACTAAATGAACTGTTGTAAGTCGAGGACTATCTGTATCAGACAATTTCCTAAGGCAAGGAGTAGAGATGAGAGAAGAGGACGAGGCATCAGGAAACCAAAAATTGTTTGCTGAAAGCCATAAATTCATTGTACCAAAATTTACAGCTTCTGTCCTGGAGGTACTCAGTGTAATAATATGGATTGTTCCCATGCTGTTGTTGATTTTCACTATTTGTTGCTAGTTTTGTAACTTTGTGTACTTATCTATAGATAATAAAAAGAAATACTTTGTTTAGAATATTTTGGAATCAGTTTAAATATGTGAGATAAGTTAGTATTTTTGTGTATTTACAACATAATTATAATGAAGACAATAGTTTAACATTTCTGCTTATAGTGGAAGAGTTTTGGATTGTAATCTATATTTCATTTCTATAATTTTTTAAAATTAACTTGCATTATGACAGTGAGCAGAGAGAAAGAATGTGTATTATGGGAACATATTCCAGAGTGCGATAGCATACTGGCAAAGTCAGTCTTTGTCACTTTAAAAAAATAGCCTGTTTATTGGAGGAGGTGCGATTTCTTAAGAATCAGGTGCATGTCTAAAGCAATGATGTCATCTTTCCTACTGGACCTGCTTGAGAGAGAGGGATTCATGGGAGGAAATTATTTCCTAAATGCAGATTCCTGGCTGAGAGGAATAAAGAGTAATTGAATATAGGCAGTTTGTGAGTATGAATAATTAACTACTGTATTCAGGAATGACTAGCCATGTGAAGATCATACAATAATCTTTATGTGCAAATATGGACAGTGAGGTATTCAGATACATATATACTTGCTACCAATGCTTTAGAGGTAACCATTCACATTTTCCTTCCTAGTGAAGGAACTGTCATATCCAGGGTTTTTTTTTAAAAGAAAACATGCTGTGTGGCTTATTCCAGAATTTTGCCTGTTTCAGACTTGAAGGCAATGCTGGAGTACTCAAATGTAATGCAGTTCTGTATATAAACAAAATTGTAGTCTTTAAGTTCTACTTGTAGAACTGAAGTTTTTATTTAATTAAAGTATTGCAAATGTAATGCATGCAAATTGATTTTTATTTGTAACTGCTTTCATTTATTTTGGGTTTCTTTTTTATATTACCTGTATACCTCTGTCGTGATCTAGATAATGACTTACTTCATAATCTGATTGTATGTGATGCAATTAATTTGAATTTAAAATATGAGAGAAAGGCTAAAATTTACCTGAATATACTATTTGTTAATTTTCTTGTGATTTGCTAAGCAGTACATGCTATTTGTTTGCATTTATTTGGGGAGTAATAGAGGCCTCACAAGACTTTTCAGGATTTACAACCTTATTAAAAACTTGATGTTTTCTTCGGAGGCTTAGAAATTTTGTGTAGAATAAAAATTACTTCAATACATAGACTAGAAAAACAGTAACCATGCATGTAACTTTAGTGAATTTTGTAAATATAAATATGAGATGTCATGTTCACTGTTGACAGAAAATTACTGTAACTAACAAGAGAGGAGGGAAATATTATGTACTGTGGGAATGACCTTGGAATACCAGAAGGGAGTGTGGAAAGAAATGTGCCTGGAGAACAATCAGATCAAAGGGTGAGAAGCCTGCCATTGAATAATAGGTGAGAAAGAGACTTAAAAAGGACTCCCCTAACTAATCGGGTGATAAAAAGAGATGGTGGGAGATTTGTATTTTCAGGCTTGCACAATATTCTTTTAATGTAGTTTTATAATAAAATAGAGTTAGCTCATCTTTTCATGTATCCTGTCTGGTTTTTCTTCTCTCTTGAAGGAGAAAAGATCCTATAATTTGTCTTCCCCCATATCCCAATAGCTTCCTTGGATTTCAGCATGGGGAACCCAAGAGATCCTTGTCATCGAGAGAGAGGCAGAGAAGAAGGGATCATGGGGTGTGCTTTTACTGTGGGATTTCAGGGCACATAGGCAGATCATGCCCAATAAAAGCACCAGCAGCTGTCACCTCAACTGGAGCAAACATTTACAAGATGCCTTGTGTATTCTTGGGGAGTTACTGGAAGAAGAAGGGATATAATCTAACAGTTATATTTTGTTGTCACAGACCAAAATCTGTTTCCCCTGGAAACCTGGGGCAGGGGAATGAGTCTGAAGGGGAGGGTGATTTATTAGAATGTGAGAAGATCTTGGAAGATGGGAGAAAGAGATGCTGCCTAGGGAATGATCAGATAAAAGGGGGAAGAGCCCACTCAATAGCAAGGAGAAGAAAAGAAACTTAGAAAGGTTCTGTCTGAATAATCAAGCTGTAAAAAGAGACACTAGGCGATCTGTATTTCCAGACTCACAAGTTTCTGTTAATCTAGCCTTAGTATAGAGTTAACTTATCTTATCATGTTTCCTATCTGGTCTACTTGGGAGGCTGACAATGACTGAATGAAATCCCAGTTGAATCCATCTGGATATCTTATGGTGTATGCCTGAATCTACAGGTAGTCTTTATTAGCAACCACAATTAGGACCACTATGACAGTGCTAAGGATCCTAGGTCAGTTTTCCTTTACTTTACAGACCTGTAAAGGTCATAATTGTCAAGATTCGGCATAAAGTTACTTTTTCATCTCTTGTAACTATGAACACTCTACAAGGCAGTCACTAAATAATCTGTGTGTAATTAAATGATAATACATAATATAAATAAAAAAGCAATGAGCAGCTGCATGGTATTTCTTCAAAAACTGTTGTTTATTATACATATAAAGTATAATTTCTTGGCTACAAAGATTTTACTGAAAATTTTTGTCATTAACTTTCAGAAAATCATTCTTCTTGAAATTTACCTTTCTGCTTTCTACCCATTATCCCACTTGGTCAAGATCTTTCTGATCTTGACATTGTCTTCTAAGGTCGTCTCTGTCATTGTGTCCACAAATAAATAATGATGTTATCTAGCCCCTCATTAATATGTTGAACAACACAGGACCTCATTCAACATTTGTTTCCAGCATGTTAGTGAGTTCATTTGTTGGGTACCGATAGTCAACCACCTCTGTATTTAATTATCTTACAGTCTGTCTTATTTCTCCTTAGAGCTGCTCGGATCATCCAGAGAGTGGGAGGTGCTTCAGTCCGTGTTGATTGTAGGCTGAGCTTAATTACTGAGGAACGCCCATCCTTCCATCACGTGGCTCCATTACAGCGTTCCCCAGTTTATGCTCAGCCTCGTGAGAGTTAGGTTGCGTTGGTTATTCCTCCTTGGCCGATTCAGGACTTTTCCTATTGCTTAAGGTTTGCTTTAACGTTGTTTTTCCTTTAGCCTCTGCGCATCTGGCTGTGTCTCTAGAGAAAGGGGAGTGCGTTCCTTGCCCCCCCAAGGGGGAGAAAAGCAGGCGGTATTGAGCGCTCTCGCGCTAACCCCCCCCCAGCCTCGAGCTGAATTCCTGCCGCTTCCAGCCACCCTTCGTTAGCGGCTCGAACTTCTTGCGCTCCAAAGTGCCGCTGGTTCTCCCCCCCCCCCACGAACGCCGCCCCGCCCCTAGCCTTGCCGGAGGGGCTTAATTCTGCCCTGAGCGGCCCCGACACTAGACTGGTAGGCGGCCGCCATCTTGGGCGCTGCCTCGTGGTCAGGAGCCAATTTATTTCCTCGGATATCCATTCTGACCGCTGCGAGTGCTTTTAGCTCGTCAAACAGGCTTCCCCAGCTTGTTCAGAGCCTCTCTTCCTCATTGGTATCGTTGGCTATTCCGCAGCAGCGCTCAGGGCGAAGTATAGCAGCACCCCTTCCACTCCCAGTTTTCGTCTGAGAGCAAAGCTGCTGGAGGCCTCATCTCCAACCCAGTGCCATAAAAGAGGCCTCAGGCATTCATTTGACCAATTGGATAAATTTTGCCTGGGTTGCTCACTCACAGATTAAGATCAGAATTTATGTGATCAAATTATATATTTCATATCTATAAAAAAATAAATAAAATAAAAAATAAATTATTAAAAATAAATAATAATATATAAATATATACATTGTATATACATATATACGTATATTTTTATACAGATAAACAACACAGGGCATTACTTATGGTACAATGGCAAGTGACCCTGTACTTCTAACATGCTAAGCATGTGCAACAATGAAACAAAAATGGAATCAAAATACATGGGAAAACCCTGTAATAATAATAATAATAACACATGTTAATTACATCAAATTCCAAAAGGGGGATGCAGACCAGCCAAAAGGACACCTGGCCTTTGCCGCAGGCCAAACCCTAGGCGAGCCAACTGCCTCTATTATCCTTCTGTATGATCTTTACTTCTTAAAATGGCAGATGACAACTAAGGCCCTTCCTTCAAGGCCAAATATAAGTCTCACCTTTTGCGCAGTCAGGCTAAGGGAACTTCAAAGGCCTCTAAGGAGCCTCTGTGGCACAGTGGTGAGAGTGCAGTACTGCAAGGCTACTTCTGCAGCCAGCTGCCTACAGCTTGGCAGTTCAAAGTCCACTGGGCTCAAGGTTGACTCATCCTTCCAAGATGGGTAAAATGAGGACTCAGATTGCTGGGGGCAATATGCTGACTCTGTGGACTGCTTAGAGAGAGCTCTAAAGCACTATAATGTGATATATAAGTACTCTTGCTGTATGAGACGCCTTATGGCGTCATAGGCATTGGAGAAGGAATTCTTCAGGCGATCCAGGGGGTCTCTCTCAGTGCCTCCAGCCCTCCCCCCCTCCTCTCCCTCTACCCCTTCCCCCCCCCCCCCCTTTTCCAGATTACTCTTTCCTCCTCAGGCACAGCTCTCCCCAGGGGCATCAGGCCCCTGGACCACCGACCAGATGGACACCCGAAGCTACATTTACTTCTACGGCCGCTGGTCTGCGCCAAGAGGAGCCGGACATAATCAAGATTCAAGAACAAATGAGGTCATGGATGGAGCTGGCTATCTGCCAGGGGATTGTGGAAGGTCTCCAACAGATTTCCAGACCCGGCTTCCTCCCGATGACTTCCGAACACAAGTCGCTATCGGTCAGGTCCCTGCTTGGATTGGATCCTACCACAGTCAGGTACCTTACAGAGGGACAGCCCTCTTCCAGAAAGAACAGGGGGACGAGGAAGGTAACTAGATCAATTCAAGGAGGAGGAAGAATTCAAATTGGGGCCAACTCATTACAGTGAACCCCTGTCGGAAACAGAGTCTATGGAGGGGGAGATGTCCCAGGATGAGGGCCTTACCCCCGACCAACCCTCTTTGGTGAGCTTGTTCAAGCCACACCTGTTCAAATCGCTTCTCCTTAAGGCCCCCAAAAAGCATCTCTGGTCTGTACCATAGTCTCCCTCTGCCCTCCCTTCCTCGGAGGAGGATCCAGTGGATTCCAATTTCAAGCAGCCCGTTGTGGGAGCCGAAGTGATTCCGGCTACGCCCATCTTTTCCGACCTGGTTTCAAACAGCTGGCGTCCACCGGGGCCTCCCCTGCCCCATCCAGCCAGGACAAGAGGTTTTTAACCTCAATCCAGACTTCTCCAGCCCACCTAATACCCTTGAGGTTGATGAGCCCATTGTCGGCTTAGCTTCCTCCTCCTCCCCCGTGATCCTCTGGAGGCTCTGAAACCCGAGGACAAGAGGGCTGAACTAGCCTTACGATACCGGGCTCTCCAAGCCAACGCTTGGGCCATCAGATCGGCCACTGCCGCTTCCCCTTTCACCGGGTCCTCGCTCCGATGGA